CGACAGAGGATGAGATGGCTGGACAGTGTCTGCGAAGCAACCAACATGAATCTGACCCAACTCCGGGAGGCAGTAGAAGACCTGGCGTGCTCTGGTCCAGGGGGTCACGAAGAGTCGGACACGACTAAACGAACGAATGAACAAAACAAAAACAAAACCTAGCCCAGCTTCCCAGGGGCTCTCCGCTGTGCTGAACTTCTCCCCACAAAAGATGGTTCATGGAGGACAATCCGGAGCGGATTCACTGCCGGCAAACATGCACACATGCACACACTACCATGAACCTAAAGTCTCCCATCTGATTGCCTCAGCCACGAAAGGTTGACCCCCTCAGGTGAGTCGGAGAGGAAGTCGGAGCAGACAGGCTCAAGATGGGCCAGGCACGATGCAGCGGAAAGCAGGGGGAGAAAGGCCGCCCCTGGCCCCAAACCCCTGCTCGGGGTCTCTCTTTTCCCTGAGGGAGGGGCTGAGGCTCCTGGGAGGGGGAAGAGGCAGCAGATCCCGAAGTCACGGCGCTTGGCCAACCCTCAGTTCTTTTCTCCCGAAGCCCCGAGGAGCAGATCCCAATCCAGCTGCCATCCCAGCTGGGAAGCCACTGCAGGGGAGGCTGCCATGGGGGGAGTGGGTGAGGGTTGTGGGGGGTCGTGGGGGTCGAGGTCCTCACCTTGAGCTGGTTGGGTGTCCTCTAAGTATGTGGTGTTTGTCTTCTCCGGGTCATCGCTGGCTCTGAAAAGTAGAGGAGGACTGGCCATCACCACAACAGCGGGCAAATGCCAACTTCCAGGGAACCAGCCCACTTCTCCAAGCCCTGCTAGCGTTTGGGGCCACCCAGGGAGCTTCCCCTCGGCAAAAGATCATCAGCTTTGCAACGGCCCTGCAAGGCAGGCCAGGCCGGGCTGAGGCCTTGGCATGGCGTCATGGCCACCCGCACATTAGTGGCCCTTCCTTTCATGGGTCCATGCCCGCCGTGGAGGTATAGCTAGGTTTGGAGCTGAACGATGGGGAACCTCTCCCCCCCCCTCAGTTTCCCAGGGAAATATTACTTTTCAGCTCTTTTTCTAGCTCCAGAAGGCATGGCTCCACTAAAGGATGGAGGAGGAGGAACCGGGCATAGATTTTGGGTGTTGGACTACAACTCCCATCAGCATGCCACCACCCTGGGCTAAGCCCAGTGGGAGGTGTAGTCCAACACAATCTGGAGAGCCAGGCCCTCTCGTTTTCCTGGCCGGGGAGAAGCAGCCTCACACCATGTGTGGCTCTTCCTGCCCATGAGGTCCCCGACTCTGCCGCTCCCTCCTGCCCGTACCGGGAGTGCCGGCGGTCCGTCTCGCAGCAGCGCCGGCAAACAATCAGGACACCGAAGATGAGAACCAGGGTGCCCCCGATGAAGATGGAGAGAAGGACCAAGAGGAGGACGTAGCCATCCTGGGCGCTCACTTCAGTCGGCACTGTCTGTAGGATGGGGTTGGGGAGGAAGGAAGGAAGGAAGGAAGGAAGGAAGGAAGGAAGGAAGGAAGGAAACCACCCATTTTTAATTCCTTTTCCTAGAGACCAAACTGTTTGCCCCACACAATGGCTGAATCCCATAGAAGTCTGAATGTCTTCAAATACAGTATTCCGTGGCTTCCGCTCCCACTGCACTGGAAAGTGGATCTCCCAATACAGTGGTTCCCAACCTTGGGCCTCCAGATATTTTTGGACTTCAACTCCCAGAAATCCTGGCCAGCAGAGGTGGTGGTGAAGGCTTCTGGGAGTGGTAGTCCAAGAACACCTGGAGGCCCAAGATTGGGAACCACTGTGCCTGCGGTACAGTTACTGTATATTCAACCTACCAGGTTCAGAGTCCGTATACGTGCTGGAAATAAGAACGGGCTGCTGACAGCCGTTGGTTTATTTGTGGATTTCTTTTGTATACATAAGCACATCCAGATCGATAGGCCAAGGGGGGAATCATATAATTCAGAACAGCCTTGTGAGCTAGGCCAGGTTTTTCAGAAAAGCAGAGATAGAGAGAATAAAATTTGTCCCAAGGTCAACCAGCTACGTCCCTGGTCCAGTGAAGGACCTGAACCCAGATCTCTTATTCCAGAATGCTAACTGCTACACCCACCTGCCAGATGCTCCCAGGGACAGGGATGAAGCCCAAAAGGTTTTTGGTCTGATCTAGTTTGGCAGACTTTTCTTCCGGAGGTCCGTTTCAACAGAGCAGAACCTCCTTCCACAGAAGTCTATCTGGGCCTACTAAATGCCAGGGACTAGGCACATGGGGAGAGTGGGCGGGGGGCCCTCCTGCCAGGGCCCTCCCATCATGGGGGAAAGGACCCAGGAATTCCCCACCAGGGATGAATTCCCGCACCGTCTGTCTGTGTGTCTCGAAAATCTCCTCGGTTTGGCAAGGAACGCGGCTTCTTTGGGAGAATAAGCTGCTCGCTCTTCTGGCAGTTAAGGGCAAAAGAGGGCATCCCTGGGGAGCCCCTCCGTGGACTCACAAGGTTCCCCCACTCCCAATACATTATCAATTTCTCCAGACAAAAAGTCCCTCCCCACCCTCAAAATGGATCAATTAAAAATAAAATTTTTACTTTTTATTTCATTTAATTATCATATTTTCCATGTATAAGACACCCCCATGTATAAGACATCCCCCACTTTTCTAATCCAAAATTAAGAAATCTAAGTGGGGATTAGCAAGTGTAAAGGGAAAGGGATCAACGCGCTGCAGGATCACTTTGACCCCTGCTTTCCCCTCCACTTGTTTTTGTTCTCTTCTCATCTTATTTCCGTGTATAAGATGACCTTCAATTTTTAGTCTAAAGATTTTAGACAAAAGTATAGTCGTATACATGGAAAAATACGGTAATACAGATAACACCTGTTTAGAATCTATTTATTTTCAATTTTCACATGCACACAACCAACTATTTTTTGGAGGGGTAGGGGCTTTTCCACATCTCTGCATCAATGAATGGGAGATCAGAGAACTGAATCAGAAGGCAGTGCACTATAATGGCTAGAGGATTTCGAAAATCTGGGTCCTGGTTGTCCAGAAATAGGAAAAGTCATGGGGAGACCCCAGCCTCCCGTTTCTCTCTGTCTCAGTCCCTGTCTGGTCAATCTTGCAAGGAATGTTGTGAGGAAAGGCAAAGCACCAGGTGCGAATCCAACTGTTCTCCATTTAAGGGTGTAGATTTGTGGTTTTGGACTACAACTTCCAGCATGCCCTCAAGAAACTTTGCACACACTCCATTTCCCTAACCTTGCCCCTCCTGGGGGCTCTTCAACTACAAATCCCAGAAGCCCCAACAGCTCAGTTTTTGGGAGTATGAGGACAGCCGGATTGCCAGGTCTGGGAACTCCTACCATTAGAGGAAAGGCAGAAGAGGAAGGCAATGAACAAATAGCGAACGGAAATGGTTGTTGTGGGTTTTTCGGGCTCTTTGGCCGTGTTCCGAAGGTTGTTCTTCCTAACGTTTTGCCAGTCTCTGTGGCCGGCATCTTCAGAAGACAGCTGTCAGAGGGGCCCATGTGAAATTTCACTACCTCTCCTAGCACTATCCTGTTGCTGCCCACGAGTTGAGTTTCCCTAACCTGTTTTGACTACAACACCCAGAATCCCCAGCGAGCCAGCCATGACAAACACGAAGGATTCCCCCAAACATTGTTCCCGGGCTGGGGGTGGGGGCAGAGGGTTGAACTTCTGGAATGTGAAAAGCAAGCTCGGCAACACTGTCTCTTCCCCATTTTCGGAGTCACGTAACCATTGGCAGTTTGGGGCTACAAATCCCATCATCCTTTACTATGGGCTATAGTGTATGGGGTGGGTGAACCACCAAAGACATCCCGCCTACACACATCGACAGAGCGGTCAGTGTGTCCAAGCAGGGAAGAAAGGAGGAACACCAACCCCCCTCGCTGCCCTGCCTGGCGTGACCAGGTAAAGCCTTATGGGAACTGTAGTCCACAGCATGAAAAGTAAGGTGAGTGTTCTGGTATGCACACAGGAGGGCCACCCCAGGGGTGTTATTTCAGCCCCATAAGGCTGCCCCACTCCCTTTCCCCACAACAACAGCAACAACAAAGGGGGGAGGGAAGTGGGTACAACAACAACAACAACAACAAAGGGGGGAGGGAAGTGGGTGTTAAATTTTAAAGCCTTTTAAAATACATTGCAGCTCCCTCCACCGGCTTTTGTAGTGTTCAAAACAAAGACATTTTTAAAATATGAATTTTTCAAAAACTTTCCTGACCCATCCAAGTGTTGTTTTGTATGTGTGTGTGTGTGTGTGTGTGTGTGTGTTTTTGTTAACTGTGCTTTTTTTTGGGGGGGGGGACCTTTATAGCCGAGCCCCAGGAGGGAAAGCAGGACAAGGCAAAGTGAAACCGACAAAGCACTCTGCACATAGTCAGAGGCCCCTGTGCCCACACACTGAGAAAAAGATTTCCCAGCATTCCACAGTGGGAGGGCCCATTTCAGACATGTAGGGTGCCCCACACATACCCATAGGAATAGAGCAGGGGGCGAGATTTGCCTCTAGGGCCGAGCCCTGAGAGCTGGGCCCCGAATCACACACACACCCCCACACACCCCGAAGGTGGCGTGGGAGGCGACAGGATGAAAAGCAGGGGGCAGGAAGGACCAGACCAGCATTTTCCCCCACCCCCACCCTCTGAGCCAGGGGGTCACCCCACACCACCCTACTCACCGTCACCCCACTGGCCGTGGCGTTCTCCCAGGCGCTGGACGCATCCTGGCTCATGGTCCACCGTGGAAGGGAAGGAGGGTCTGCCTAAGCAAGAAAGCCAGCCATAAAAAAGAAACCACGAAGCCTCCAGATAACCAGGGGGTCCACTTAGAGGGGATTTGGAAAAGGGGGTGTTCAGGAAGACCTACATAGAGGGAAAAGAGCAGGCAGCCCAGGCGATGGCCTTCTTCTTCTTCTTCTTTTTTCCTCCTCTCTTTTACTCGTCCTCCGATTCTCTATCGCCTGCTCTCCAGGCCGCCTTGGCTCCCCCCCAGAGCTCACATGGCCCCCCAAAATCCCAATGGTGGGGGTGGGTAGCGGCTTCTGCCCCTCATTGCATTCTGGGCTCCAGCCTCTGGGGACCTCTGGAGAGGAGGAGGAGGAGGAGGAAGATGATGAAAAGACGGTGGCGGTGGGTACTCTCTTCTCTTCCCTGGATGGGGGGATTTCCTCCTTCGCCGCCCAGCTGTGAAGGTCCGACTAGAGAGGGAGAAAGAAGACAGGCCAGTTGGTGGGGAGGGCACTGGGGGGGGAACACGCTCATCGGGGATGCTGCAGCTCCCTAGGAAAGGATGGAGACAGGGAAGGAAAAAGCCGAGGTTTCGAGGTGGGGAGGGACTGCAGGAAGTGGCATGGGGGAGAGCTACCTACCTTCCTTCCCTTCTCGGTGACACCCCCCTTTCTGTCAGATGCTTTGAGGGGGCTTCCCTCGCAGTGGGAGGGGGAGATGCAAGGAAGAGAGGATCCCCCCCAGCAGCTTTCCTTCTCCCCCCCCCCGCTGCGTGTTCTGCCTGAGGAGG